CAGGTGCGTCTTCCTGGGGGACCTGCCAGACATCAGCCCAGGTCTCCGGGGACAGGGCCAGTCGTCACAGTAGCCACTCCCCGAGGTGCCCAGCGTTATCCTCTGCCCGCCCTGCGCTGCTGTCCGGTCCTCACAGCCCCCGGCGGCCGCCCTGTCTCCTTGCTGGCTGAGCAGCGTCCCGCTGCTGGTCAGGGCGAACTTTAACCCTGGCCTGCTCCTGCTCACATGGCTCCATCTGCTTGGCCAGCTTTGTCCCTCCTCGCTGTCAAAGGGAGGAAGGAGAGGGAGGGGGAGGCGTGGATCTCGCAGGGAGCGGTACCCCTAGTGGCCCCTGGTGACCCCTGGTGATGGGGAGCTGTCCCTGCCGAGCCCGAGTCTGGTCCCCAGACAGAGTTTCTGGGGGCACAGGCAGCACGGAGGGTGGTATGGGTGGCCGGGCCTGTGGTGCCCACAGAGTCAGCACGGGCCCTGGGGATGGCACCGAGGCCTACTTTTCACTTGGCCGAGTGGTGGGAATAGTGGCCCCTGTGCACGGACTTGTTACCCAGACGCGATAAGCTTGTGTTTGCGGAGAACTTCAAAGAGGGCCCCGTCCCCGGTTAGCCTACCAGCTCTGTAGGGGTGAGCTTCCTCGCCACCCTCCCTGTGCCCCGTGCCATCCAGGGCCAGCGCCTGGAAGGGAGGGACTCGCTGGGCCCCATGGGGTGGAGGGATGACCCCTGCACCCCGCTGCCCTCCGGGATGTTGTGTCTGGAGGGCAGGTCAGGCTGGGACCCGAGACCTCTCCCAATGCCATGTTCTCCAGCCAATGTGAGCATCCGCCCTGTGTCAGGCCGTGTGCGCAGCACAGGACACGCATGTTCTCATGGGATCTCCACCACGTGTTGAAGTAGGAACTCTGCCCATCCCCAGCTGAGCGCCGAAACCCTGCAGCTTTCAGAGGTTAAACAGAGGAGCCACGGTCACAGTCATCAGTAAGTCCCGGGGCCTGGGCTCCAACAAGAGTCTTTTCGACCCCAGGCCTGGACCACTTTGTGTTCCTGGAGGGTGAGGCAGGACGGGGGGGACCATGGGATGCGAGAAGAAGAGAAAACGGGAGAAAAGGCAGCAGGCATGTGGCGGTCCCAGGAGCGTGGCTCCCTCACCTCTCTGTTCCCCAGCAAGCAGCCCCGTGGGCGCGTGTAAGCAGAAGGCTTTGGGCTGCGGGATCTCGGGCAGCCCCCCTGAGTCTCAGCTCTCCCAGCGGGTGATGCCGTCTCCCCTTCGCCTGTGGCTGTGAGAGAGTCACTCGTCCCGGCCGCTCAGCAAATCTCCCCTCCGGACGCCCGAGTTAAAGGGAGGATCACATAGACCAGCGGTTCTCAACCTGTGGGTCGCGGCCCCTTTGGCGGTCGAACGACCCTTTCACAGGGGTCACCTAAGACCATCCTGCAGATCAGATATTTACATGACGATTCGTCACAGTAGCCACATGACAGTGATGAAGTAGCAACGGAAATAATGTTATGGCTGGGTCACAGCCTGAGGGACTGTATTTAAAGGGCCAGGAGGTTGAGAACCGCTGACATAGACTAACATGGCAACACGCGGCTCACAGTCGCACGTGGCAGCGTTCAGGGCCTCTCAGCTTCCTTCCTGTCCCCCCTTGATCCCGGGAGCAGAGAGTCTCAGGTATGAGATGCGGGGGGCCGGGGCTGAGCCCTCAGAGAAAATCTCCCCGTTCCCTCCTATTTTTAGGCCTGGTAACGGCACCGGCCTGGAGTAAAACTGTCACCGTGACGACAGCTCGGTTCTCCCCGAGGAGAGACGCACTGGCCACTCGCTGGTCGCGGCCAGTCAGGTTTTCCTGTGCGGCCAGGAAGAGGGATTTCGTAGCACAGGGGCTGCCCCATCGCAGGCTGTGGGAACACCCTACTGAACTGGATGGGAAAATTAGGCACGACAAGAAGATTAATTAACACACATGCCAGAGTAAGCAATCACTTTGTTAAGCCTCCGACTTGGCCTTAATTGCCACCATTAGCGAGCAGAAATCGGCTTTTGCATTCAGCAGCTAACGGTATTGAACGCTCTGTACAAAGTCTTCTCTCAGAATGATTTTCGCTCATCCATTTAAGTGGATGCTACGGTTTTTTTAAAAAATACTAAATTTTGCCGTCTTGTGGCTTGCCTTATAGCTGCCGAAGAAGCAGGGGGCTTTTGAAAGGTGACAAAAGGAAAAATCCTAGAGGGAAGGCCTGTGGAAATGTGCATTTCAAACATGTATACCCCACCCCCCGATCTGCTAATTGAAATGAGAGGATAAGGAGTCAGATTTCCCCACGAAAAGTAGAGAAGTCACTTACATACCAAGCAGTTCATCCCACTCTACTGTGCTTATGTCTCATTTCATTGTTTATATTTTCATCCTGTTTCTGGTGTATTCTCATTCACCAAGCTGTTGAATGGAGGACTGGAGATAAATAAGATCTATTTCTGAGACCGGGAGTGCTCATTCATTCATTCACTCATTCAGCAAACACCCGTTGAGCTTTGGCATGTGAGGTATGATTGAGTGGATTTTTAGCTCCCTGACATCCTGACAGATGCTGTGAAGTTTAAAGAGAAAAGGGAATATGGTTGGTGAGACAAGCGTCTTGTTCCTAAACGATCTTGAAGTATCATTAGAAAATAAAATTAGTGCCCGGCCGGTGTGGCTCAGTGTTTGGCCATCGACCTATGAACCAGGAGGTCATGGTTTAATTCCTGGTCAGGGCACATGCCTGGGTTGCAGGCTCCATCCCCGGTAGGGGGCGTGCAGGAGGCAGCCACTCAATGATTCTCTCTCATCACTGATGTGTCTATCTCTCCCTCTCTGAAATCAATAAAAAATATATTTAAAAAAAGAAATTAAAATTGGCATGAAACAATCAAGAAATAAGACAAGCCCTAACCGGTTTGGCTCAGTGGATAGAGTGTCAGCCTGCAGACTGAAAGGTCCCAGGTTCAATTCCGGTCAAGGGCATGTACCTTGGTTGCGGGCACATCCCCAGTGCGGGGTGTGCAGGAGGCAGCTGATCGATGCTTCTCTCTCATCGATGTTTCTAACTCTCTATCCCCCTCTCCCTTCCTCTCTGAAAAAAAATCAATAATTTTTTTTTTTTAAAAAAAGAAATAAGACAGAACTCGACCATGCTGGTGGCAGCAGGAGGCATCATTCAACTCGCCCTCTGCAGGTGAGTGGCAACATCCCTTTACTGGGAGGGCTGCTATATCCAAGTCAAGGTGCTTAACATGCAGAAAAGGTGGGTAAAATTAAGCCTTGCTCATTAGCTGGCTCCCTGCCCTACACAGCTGTCCCCCAAATCTGTCTTGTTCCGCCCAAGTGTAAGTAGTCTCCCTCCTTAGAAGTGGCCGGAGGGAGGGAAATGAACCGGCAGGAGGAGTCCAGTCATAACTTATCACTCTAAGAGGCTTCAAACTCTATATGAAAACAAAACAACACACAACGCCTCTCAGCTGGTGAAACCAGGCTGGGTGCTAAGGGCTTCCCATGCATTTTTTGATCGAATCTGCCACCAACTCTGCAAGGCTCTTCTCATTCCGTTTCACAGACGAGGAAAGCCGGCTCAGCAACGTGAAGTCGCTGGCTCAGGGTCACGCAGACAGTGCCAGAACATCGAGAATCAGTTCCACGGCCGGGTGATTCTTGCTAGACCCCACGTGGTCAGTGGCTGGCCAGCTGCCGAGGTTAGCAGGTGCGTTGTCAGACCTCGGCCCTCATTACTGTAATTATTGGCCTGATCCGTGGCTGACAGGTGCTCTGCAGTGAGGCTGCTTATGAAGGAAAAAGCCTGAAATTAAAATCCCTCTTGCTGGCCTAGCCTGTGCGGCTCAGTGGGTAGAGCGTCGGCCTGTGGACTAAAGGGTCCCAGGTTCGATTCTGACCAAGGGCACATGCCCGGGTTGCGGGCTCGATCCCCCCCGGGGGGGACATGCAGAAGGCAGCCAATCAATGATTCTCATCATTGATGTTTCTATCTCTCTAGCTCTCTCCCTTCCTCTCTGAAATCAGTAAAAAAAATTTTTTTAAAAAAGAAGCCAAGAGCTTTCTTAAAGAAAAACACGTGGGGGAAGTTATCATTTAGCTCAAGGCTCTACTTTCGGGATTTCAAAACCAAGTTAAATTTGCATTTGGGTAACAGACACCTACCTATCTCTGCATAGAACGAACGTCTCTGTAACTGCCCAGCTAGCCAGCACCTCATTGGTGAAGGCAATAACAGAAGCTGGGTCATCTTCGAACACCTATCACTTACCAATAAATATTCTTAGATCCTGTGACGTGGGGGAAGTTATCATTTAGCTCAAGGCTCTACTTTCGGGATTTCAAAACCAAGTTAAATTTGCATCTGGGTAACACACACCTACCTATCTCTGTATAGAACGAACGTCTCCGTGACTGCCCAGCTAGCCAGCACTTCATTGGTGAAGGCAATAACAGAAGCTGGGTCATCTTCGAACACCTATCACTTACCAATAAATATTCTTAGATCCTGTGCTTCAGTCGTTTCTGGGTCTGAGTTTTTTATTTATTTATTTTCCTTTGTAATTGGTTACTGTTGATACCACCATGGCATCTCGCTTAACCAAGGGGCGCCCGCCTTTCAGGTGGTTTCCTGTTGTGGGAGAAAGATTTCGACTCCGTTAGGCAAACTCCTGGGCTAATCCAGTGGTTCTCAACCTTCTGGCCCTTTAAATACAGTTCCTCACGTGGTGACCCAACCATAACATTATTTTCGTTGCTACTTCATCACTGTCATGTTTCTACTGTGATGAATCGTCATGTAAATATCTGATCTGCAGGATGGTCTTAGGCGACCCCTGTGAGAGGGTCGTTCGACCGCCAAAGGGGTCGCGACCCACAGGTTGAGAACCGCTGGCTAATCTATAAAATGGGGGTAACAACACCAACCCCGGGATTGTAGGAGATGACAGGCAGAAACAGCAAAGCCCAAGGCCTCGCCTGGACCCCGATTGCTCACTCTCCACTGCGAATGAGGTTAGAGGTTTTCCTGGGTTCAAAGCTAACGGCCCCAGGCAAACAGGCCAAAAAAGGAGGAAAAAAAAAGAAAAGAAAGTCGCTCCTTTCAAGGGTTCCCAGAATCACCTGTCCGCGGCCGGCCCCACGCAGGGGACACGCAGGGGGTCGTGGGCCTGGGCAGCCGGTGCAGGTGTCTGAGCTGCCACCGGTGGGCACGGTGTCCCCGCGCCCC